GGCGCACGGAACTGCATTCGTGATGAATCTAATGGCGATTGCCAGCACTCGAAAAGTAAAATTCTTTCAGCATTGCAAAAACCATTAACCATGTATACGTTGTATAGAAATCTGTGGCAACGGAACTAAAATCATGGCAGTAATGGAGTTCGATATATTCATGAAAACCATTGCAAAGTGATACGATATCAATAGAAATAATTTACTATTTAACAGTTGCTGTGTTTTAATGCAGTGACATTACAATTCATATTTATGAAGTAAAACTTTTATATAATGTATAATAAATAATAAAATTGTTGGCTGAAAAATATTAATATATACATAAATAGTCAATTTACAATTAATTGTGATAAAAAAAGCTGAAATTAATACAGAAGGCAAAACTATAAAATAATTCTCCTACAATCATAAAGCAAATTTTTCCCTTATAATTTTAATTTAAATTCAACATACATTAAAATAAATGGAATATTGTTTATTTAATTTATATTATTACCATTTAATTTATATTTAAAAATAATATAACAGTAGTAAATACATGAAGATTGCACGGTCCATAAAATCTCATTTAGAAAATGGGTGTCCATATATTGTGCAACGGTCAATGTAACGTCGCAAGTTCTCGTTGAAATTTCGCGGAATCTTCGAACTACAGCCAAAGTTCCCCGAGTAATTTCTAGTCTCGAATAATACGAAATTTCCGCGGAGATGTTAAAAAAATGTCGATCTGCGCATTTTCGCAAGTTGAAGATCTCGAAAAACGTTACCGAAGCAACGTCGGAGTGAAAAGTTTTCAGTAAGACTTTTTAGTGTGCTTTTGCTTCCTTTTCGTATTAGTCGTATATTGGAAGATCGAACGAAGGGGCGTTTAATTTATTTCCCCCACACGACGAAACAGTAATGCACGCATTTATGTATACCACAAATTAGTGTTTGAGGATCCCGCAGTAAATCGTCAATCAAGAGTCTCGCAAAGAAAAACACCTCGGGCTCCATCGTTTTTGAATCGTATGCACTGTATGTATCGTTCATGTGGTATTCAAATAAACTGACGAAGCATGTTTTCGGTTTGCTTGTTACATGCGGTTTGATAGAGTATACATGCAATCACTGAATTGCTTTTTTTGCTGACTTTTCTAATCGAATGTAATATTTCCTATTTATTATATGTAGTTAAAAGCGATTCAGAACAGATACAAAAAAAAATGATATATCTTCGACAATGAATATGTTAAAATGGGATATTATTCGTAAAAATTAAAATAATTTACAATATTATAAAATTTAAGATACTAAGAAATTAAGAAAATCTTAGAAATTTTAACCTTCCATTTGCAATGTGGATCTTCTTTGGCATATAAAAGCGAAATTTCACTCCCAAATTTTTCCAAAATAAAGGAGGATGAAATCCGATTCCCTCTCCTAAAATAGTTTGTTAAAAGAACTATTTCGTAATGTAATAGAAAAGTAATCCTAAATTTTCCACAGTTCTTAAAAACTTAGAATATATATATATATATATAGAGAGAGAGAGAGAGAAAATATGTTCACTGTTAAATTCATAAAGTCAATTTGTACTATTTTTAATCATTTCTTTAGATCGCCACTGCTCCTACTTAATATATCGTTAATTTAACTAAAACAAGAAAGTTCAACAATTTAATTCAAGAAAATATATTAAATTTGACTCAAATTTATATTTACTAAGTGCATACGTTAGTATGAACATTGTTTACTTTGAAACTACAGAAATAGATTGATTTACATATCGAAGTTAAAAATAACAAAATCTTATTTAATTCAAGGGATTGCGTTACCATTGCTCCTTTGATATTTAACAGTATAGATTGCATGGAGGGATAAAAATATGATTGCAGCGGACGGTTAATATTAAATATCGTGTTATATTGAGAAAAAAATATCAATTTCAATGAATATTTAATTCAATACTGCCAAAAAATAAACGTTTATTTACAGTAAATAAATATTTGTTCAATGAAAAAAATAATTGTTAAATCAAATTAATGATTCCTATACCAAATAAATATACCTCTATTTTTTCTCAGTTAGTTATTGTATATAAAAGTAACATTTTGTCAAAGTAATATTATTTGTGCAATTATTCGTAATTCATTTTTCGATTCGACTTCTCCCTTAAAAAAAAAAATTATAAACTTGTTTATGTAAGTCCTTTCGCTCAAAAAAACGAAACCACTTAATGATAGTTTTAAGCGGTGGGTAAAGGTGAGATTAATCAGAACGTGACTAAAGCAAGGACTGATTTCTTTCTGCACGCGAGCTTGCTTGATTGGAAAAGTTTCAACTTGTACTTTATTGTTGAAGCGGCTCGGGCGGTGCACGAACATCGGCGTTTCTCTAACATCTTCGACGTGCGATTGTCCGTTAACACGCTTCTTTTCCCAGGATTTTTATTGCTTACCCGCGCGCATTTATAATGATATGGACTTTTTCACGATGAGACCACACACCGCTAGAGAAGTAAGTGAAAGCGTGTGTTTTGTAAACATTTGAAATCACGCATGAATATTTAAACTCTCACATAAGCGCGCACCGATTCCTAAATGTAAATTGAGTAGCAAACATATTCTGGCGTGAAATAAAAAAGAATAACACGGTGACAATGTATGCATTAGTGAACAATGTTTATTCTATTCTTCTGTGCGAATAAACGATTCCAAATTCTCACCCAATTATTGATTTTGTCTGACCTGTTTCAAATCATCTTTACCGTTATTGTCGCGCATAACATATTCAACGGTAATTTCAATTTTTGCTTTGGCCTGATTAATGCATCGTCTCTTATCTTTCCCTTGAGTACTACAGATATAATCTTTTTTTTTTTTTAGTATGTATCCATGTACACATCTAACAGCAAGGAAATTATTTCTAAATACACTGAGAGAAATGATTTTGTTATAGGAACAAATCAAGGGAAAACACGAGGGGATAACCACATGTAATCGTGGGACAAAGTCTTCGAAATCATTATAAAATTCATATAAAATCTCTATGTATAATCCGCGACAATTATATACAACCACGAGAAATCATTGTATAATATTAAATAAAATCGTATATTTTACCAAATTACTTCATATGTAGTGAAAAAAATTATTTGTAATCAGATGAAATCATATGAAATCGTGTAATCTGTGGGACAATATTTCAGCTAGTGATTACCCCTCGGGAAAACAAATGTGACATTTGTTAAAGAAACAATTGATTAGTTACTATTGCAAATTAATTATTTCTCATTCGTCAATGTAACAAATAATCAATAGTATCGCTAGCAAATAAAAGGCTTATACAGGGTGTTTCCAAATTAAATGGCAAAACTTCGGGAGCGTGTAGAGGAGTAAAAAACTAAGAAAAAAAGTCCTATGGACATATGCTCCTTTTTGCTTTGTTTCGCAGGAAATCACGAAAAAAGAAAAAAATATATTTAATTTATTATTTTAATTATTTTATTTATAAACTTTTTAATGAAGATTTTGTTCGAAATGTGCACCTCTTGCAGCAATACAAGCATTGCATCTGTCAAACACGGCTCTTGTAGCAGCCAGGCAAAAATGTAATCAAATATGTCGGTGCTAGATATGGCAAGAAATGTAAACATTTTTTTTCGATTTCTCTGAAACGGAGCAAAAACGAGCATATGTCTATAGGACTTTTTTTCTTAGTTTTTTACTCCTCTACACGCTCCCGAAGTTTTGCGATTTAATTTGGAAACACCCTGTATATATACATAGAAGTCGTAGACGATCGTAGGATCTCAAATCATAAGAAATTGGTCAATTCCAGTCGAGTATTCTCCCTATATTTGACTGTGATATCTCCCTATATTTGATTGGTCAGTTTCCTACGACTTAAGATCCCACGATTATCTATTTTATGATTTCTATGATAAACGATCCTAAAGTCTATTCAAAAGATAGGTTAGGTTCTATATATTGTAGTTTGCTTCTATTACTAATAATTGTTGGTATAGCAGACTAATAGCAATCACAACAAATCAATTTTGTTGTCACATATTTACCGATCATTTGTTAAAGGTACTGGTGGCTTGTTAAATTAATAAAATTCTTTCTCTCAGTGTAGATTTAATGAGGTGCATATATTAGTAACAAATGCTTATATATAAAAAAATTAATTTAACCGTAATATATGCAATTATATATTTACATTCACAGTTCATAGGAGTAAGCTGTCTGAAATGCATATTAAAATTTTATATTATAACACATATTTTTATTTAAAAAATCAATTAAATCGTGAAATCCAATTTAAAGTTTAAATAAAATGTAAATGTATTCTACAGAACTTCCATTAATCCATCATATTTTAAAACATACCCTTTATCCACGTATAACTTCTACTCACAATAGCCATTCAGAAATTGCTTGTACTCTCCCAATAGAAAGACTATCATTAATTCTAACTTCGAGAAAATGCATGGACGAGGTGCATCTAGTCTCATGAATATCGAATAATCTCAAATTACCGAGTAAGTACTTAATATCGGTCACGAAGGCAATATCGGACGCACGCGCACGCTACATCGAGATTCCCGAGAAACGAGATCTTGGGCGAAATGGCTGTTGCTGTTGTACGGACTCAGCACACGCGCGATCAGCCTTCAATTTCCAATTGTTCGAAATAAGTCGTCCATATAAACGATAGAAACGGTTCCGCACTGCAGTCGTGCAATTTGCAATAGAGAGTATTAAATTATTATTCCCGAGCACATACCCAACAGACACATATACCCAGACATACACATATATGATGGGATTACAATATTCATGTATAGAATGCTAGAAGCAAAATGGAAGTGGGGACTGGACTCTGGAGAATCTTTTAAAGTCGTAACGCATATCTTGTACAAACGAAAAAACGATTAAGGATAAAAATCTTTTCTAAGTTATACCGACGAACCTCGAATACTAAACTTATGACGAATTGTGATCTGGTCACAGGAGAAATGCGAAACGGAAAAGGGTGCTGCAGAAACCTCGACAAAGGAGGAAATAATACGTTCCACCTCCGGCGAAGTCGATAAGCATCATTCGTGCCGGTGGATGGGAGTAATTGGATTGTCTCCCTTCATACATTTCACTTTTATTGCCGTTGAGTACAGCCAGTGGTACGGCCAGGTTCAGCCTGACACTCGCGATTAGAGCTACGAGGAACTCCGAGAGGTCCTTTATGCGCTCTCAGAGAGATAATGGGAGGTGCATTATAACTGCTGAGTATTTGAGGATCGCTGCGATATTCCAAATGATTCGACTAACTTTGTATTATCTCGCATTTTCTTGTCAAAATAATTGCATTTCGAACAAAAAGTCATTTTGTCTAAATTATGTGAAGCAATCTTATTGCATTGAATAATTAATAGTAGTTTTTATAACCAGTAAAAAATCTATATGCACAAAAAATATATTATAAACTAGATATCGGATTTTTTATGCATACAAAATTTGAAAATATACAAAAAATATGCAAATATGCATAAATATGCAAATATGCAAAATATGCACAAATAAATATGCATTTTTAAAATGTTTCTTCAATAAGAAAATTTCTATTTTGATCTTTCTTTCCAATCTGCTTTCTTAAAAAATATGCAATTGCATAAGAATTCGATATCTCGTAACTATAATAAATAAAAATAATTTCTTATATATACTGGTTATCGCGATAAATATCCAAATGCTTCAAATTAGAAAAGACACCCATCTCGGATAGTTTGAAGGTTCCAGGTTCAAAAATCCTGGCTGAGATTTTTCGCAATATGTTCTTTACAGTATTTTAAGATGCTACTGACATATCAAATCAACGATCAATCTACATAATTGTGATATTATTATTTTAGCTCTATTTTTATAATTATGGTAAGTGATGCGCTGTACTGAAAAATATGTTTAGGAATTACATACACAAATATTATTAGGCATCAACTCCTACTCTTTCGTTACTTATTTAAAAATAATAAATATTATAAACTGATTGTCACCAAAAACGAATAAGCCAAGTTTTTCTAGTTTGTTGGCATGGACATTGAACATATAATCAGGCGAACAGCACAAGGAGTTTGTAATAGTTTTCCTTCAGGGAGCATTATGGGAAAATGGCAAAACGATACACGAAAGAGTAGAAAATTCAGTAAATGAATCCCATCATTTAAGTGAAACGACGCATGAACTTCCAGTTTCTTTATCGAACCATCTCGAAAGTTGCGAGTTCCCATAACGGAATTCGAGTACGATAAAAAAGCCCGATGAAGTTTGCGCAAACATCGTCTTTTCATGCTACTTCAAACCGCAAATTGTAAGACGTGCTACTACGAAGTCACGTGCTTCATGCTTGTATTCGCGAAGATACGTTCGCGCCGAGCCGCTTTCTTGTCTCGCAGCCGAAATAGGGAGTCGCGCGAGAGTTCGCAACTGTGTTCGGTTCGGGAACCGCGGCAATAGTTGTCGGGTCTCGTTAGAAATTCGGTATTCTCTCGCTTCTTGCACGCCGCCGCATCTCTCGCGCACGATGGAATTTCGAGCCCCACGTTGATGCAACTTTAGCCAATGCGAGCGGAAACGGGACTCCGAGGATGCTCCATTTTGCGGGGTATCCTCCTATCGCGAAACGTCGCGTCGCACCGCGATGCTTTATAGAGGGAGCCGAGAACGGTGTTATGGGATCACAAGTATGTCACGATGCTGAAAAGAAAATATTCTACGAGCAAAATGTTGTATATCTTATAAAAATTTGATTTACTAAATCGAGTAGTAGATACTGTCAATATTTTTCTTGTGTAGTGAAAATCACTAAAATATTATAAAAGAAAAATATAAAATAGCAACGTTTTCTTATTTTCCTTTTATGTGTATTTATATTATACCTCAATACCTGGCAATTTACTTTCAATATTTTCATAAACTTTCCAGGATCTACTTGGATCCCAGTATAATGAAACCCTTTCTTTTATTCTTTTATCATTTATATCTGTAAAATTTAAAATTATTTCAAAAAGCAAATGTCAAAGTTATAGTTTAAAATTACAGAAAGAATATCATGTACGTTATATTCAGAAAAGTCAGGAAAATTATCACGTTAAACTTGCCGAGAAATTCTTTGCCGACTGCAAAAAGTCAGCTCCGTATTTTTCTACTCATTTGTGTGTTGCTGCGAAAGAGGCACGTTAAATCAGAAGAAAATAAGTGAAGTTACATGTAAAGGTTTCGCACCCAACTTCTCATTTCGCGTACTTAACTTCGCATTTCATATAAGTTACACGGCGAGTGCATTAATCTTAGCGGTGAAGCAAAGAGAAAGAGTAACCATGTTCTTCTCACAATTTTTTCTACGTTATGGAAACTTTTCCGCATCAAGAAAAGGAGTTTTCATCCTTCTCGCTAAGCAAGTCGCCTGAGATAATCGGCGATCAAGTACATGTGACCAATCTACTTCCACGACGTTGCTCTCGACGGGAACAAACGACATCGTTCAAAATGATAGATGCGGTCGAGCGTCACATGAATTGCGTCTATATATTTCACGTAAAACATTTATGAACATCATTGCACACGTGTACTTCTGTTCGATGTTTTAGCAATCACGTCACGAGAAAAGATTTTCAAATATTCCTTTAATTGTAGTTCAAAGTTCCTTTTACATGAAGTTCTCGTATTAAAAAAATAATAGTACAATCGCGCATTACTATCATGTTAATAAGCAATATATAAATAATTCATTAAATAATTTATATTATTTTATTTAATTTAAAATTTATATATTATCAATTATTAATTTATATAAAATTTATATTATAATTTATATTATAATTTATA